GAGAGAGAGAGAGAGAGAGAGAGAGAGAGAGAGAGAGAGAGAGAGAGAGAGAGAGAGAGAGTTGAGCAGAGCCTGATGGACTCCATGATGCAATAGGAATTTGCAATTTCTATAGGGTTTGGCTGTGTGAATCATTAATAGGTTCGTTGGGCAACTTAAAGTAGTTAGACAAAAATAAAATAAAACTCGAACTTAGTAGTCAAAACTCCAAATAAGGTAGTTGTTGCAGAGTCGAGGTTGGGAATCTTTGCAGTCATCGGTCAGATCAGTATCATTGTCAAGTTACGTCAACCGGTCATTAGCAAAAGAACTACATTTAAAAATTCAAAAAATTGCATTATAATATGAAACTCCTTGAGGACCTTGATGTATTTTCAATTTTGACCTTTAATTGGATCCAACTGTGACATTGCTCTCCTAGAGTCTTGGAAGTCCACTATGTGTGACCGTGACCTCTTTCTTTCTTTCTTTCTTTCTTTCTTTCTTTCTTTTTTTTTTTTTTTTCTTTTTTTTTTTTCGAAGGGTCATATGATTCAGATACTTTATGGCCACCCGCCTCCCTCCCTTCCTCTTGTCAATCCTCCGTGGTGCAGTTTTGAGTGGTAGACACTGATGTAGGACTGGGGGAGTGTGGCCTTGTTGATCTGACATTCATGCATGAGGATTTGATTGGCAATCGGACTTGTGCTTCACTCTTGAGGCATGCTATGTATGGGTGTATTTTTCGATTTCTCTCTGGATTGCACTCGTTCCTGTTTGCTTCTATTTCGTGCGTAACGGATTGTTTGCTATTGGCATATCTCTCACTTCGGTTGTCATGCTTGGGCAGTCTGGCCGGTCTGTCTGTCTCTATATGGTTGTCGGGGTCCTTCAAGACATCCGTGAAATTTTGAACTCTGCATGGTGTCAGTTTTTTGGTCCTTCTCTCTTCCTGCCCCCCACCCACTTCCTCCTTGCAGTCTTCCCTTTTTTTTTTTTTTTTTTTTTTAATGACTGTTTCTCGGTTCATGCGTGTCATCCTTGTTTAGGGTCCATACTAAAGATGGGGGAAAAAACAATCCATCCCTACGGGTGGTAATTGTGTGAGGGTGAAAAAAAAAAAAATCAATTAAAAAAACTGTGTGAGGGACCGGGTGTACTATGTTGTGCACTGGTTGCTAATGCGAAAGCTTGTGACGTCCTCTGCACTCCTTTCCTTTTTTTTTTTTTTTTTTTTTCCGGGTTTGCAGCCAATGACACACTTGCAACTACGGCGCTTGCTTCAAGATCTTTCTAAAGGCGCTGACCAGGTGAGACTTAGGAGAAAAAGGGTTCTTTCCTCTTTTCCTCTCTTCAAGGATCTCTTTCTTTCTTCTTCTTCTTCTTCTTTTTTTTTTTTTTTTTTTTTTTTTTTTTTTTTTCTTCAAGGATCTCTAAATAGTAAATACTAAATAGTAAATTGTCTTCTGATCATCAGACAGGGGCCAAGTCCCACTAGCAGCGTTGAGCTACATTAACGCCTGAATCTGGACGCTTTAACGCCTGAATCTGGACGCTTTTGTAGAGATGTGCAGAAATGGTGTTGTGTCCCCTGAACTGCACGTCTCCACAAACACGTCCAGATTCAGGCGTTGAGGTAGCTCAATGCTGCTAGTGGGACTTGGCCCCAGGGCTGTGGTGTGTGGTTTGGTAACAAGTAGGTAGCGACTATTTTTGGTGGACCTGTTTTCCTTTTTGCTGTATTTTCCCTTTTTGTTGTTTTGTATGCATTTGTTTTTGTTTGTTTCGGTATATTCTCATGGCCCCTGGGCCCTGATTGACTGTGTGATACGGTATGAATACGGTGTTCAGTGTTTTCGAGCCGGGGCCCCGTACTTGGCGGTGCTACCCTTTTTCTCCTCAGTCCCAGTTTCTCGGGCTGGATACCTTTTGCTGTAATCTAGGAAATCACGGGAGGTACCAGTCCCAGTTTCTGGGGCTGGTACCTGGTACTTTTTTTGGTTCCATTCTCCTGAGGGGGGCCGTATGGGTACAGTTCACGTTTGCCTGTCGTTGACGACCTATTAAACCACCAGTACTTGGCCCAGCTATCGGCCGCAGGAAAAAAAAGAGTTCTAGTCGGATGAATCTGGGCGCTCCTGTAGTAGCCCGTACGTTTCCTAAAATTGTTGTGGCTTGTTAACGGTCACGACTCCAGGAAGTACTGGTGGTTTAAAAAGCATTCATGTACGTAGTAGTCGGTCTCTTTCCGTATGGGTATGGTATGACTAACGTTTCCGTAGACTACGGATATCCGGAATGCCTGTAGTTGAAAGAACGGGAGTGAGTTTTTGTGTGAACGAGGTGGTGAAACGAGTTGGAGGAAGGAGTAGGCGGTGTCCCCCTGAGGATGGCAACGTGGCTGTTGCGGAAACGAGGCGTCGGGGACGCCAAGCTGAACTTCGCTATTTTGTAATACTTTGTGCTTTCATGTTCATGATCGGCGACTATTTGTACTTGTCGCGAGTTTCTCGTTGACTGCGTGTGATTGTCTGCTTTTGCATACGTCACTCGCTTTTGCTCTACGACTATCTATGTATCTGCCGTGCCTTGCGAGCGTATACATGCCCATTTTTAGGTATGTATCTGCCGTGCCTTGTGAGCGTATACATGCCCGTTTTTAGGTTATGTACCTCGTGTTTCCTCGTATACAACTATCTAGTATCTATGCATCTGCCGTGCCTTGCGAGCGTATACATGCCCATT